TGATGGAAGTATTGTGGTTAGATTTTATTATTTATGTTTCTTGCAGTTTGGGTGAAAACTTACAGAGCAAGTTGGTTTTCCATTCAACAATTCATACGCATTTTGTTTTGTGACATTCATTGCAATCCCTTGTGACATTCATTACATTGGTAATGCCTCTCTTCCCATTTCCTCCCTGTTTACCATTTCCCTTCTCTTTTGTTCCTGTCATTTCCTGCCTTCTTAGCTTTATCCCTGAGCAAATGCTGCCCTTTTGATCTCATGTGGTTGATTGTTCTAATGAATGCATACCTTTTTGATAGTATTATTCACCTTATAGGCCTGTTTATTGTTTAGGTAAAAGTTGAACCATGGGGGTGAGTTAAGTTCCCAGCTTGAAGGGTGTCTAAGAGGGTTCCACCAATCTCTATCACACCAGTAAGCCTGGTCTTTTTTATAATTTTGAGTTTTGTTCCACATTGTTTTCCCACTCTGTCTGGGACCTCCTATTGTGATCCCTTTCAGAGCAGTCAGTTTATGTAGCCAGGCACCATCTAGTTCTTCTGGTCTCAGGGATGTGGAGGGTGGGGTTCACATGGTCCATTAGTCCTTTGGGCCTGGTGCTTTTTGGGCCTGCAGGAACTCCTGGAACCAGGTGCCTTGCTCCCAGCTACTTTTCAGGCCAGTAGGAACTTTTTCCAAGTACAGGTGCCCTACCCCAGACATCTGCTGAGCAAGTAGGAACTCCATTACTAATTAGTCCTTTGGACTAATTGTTTCCTTGCATCTTTGATTTTCTTCACTCTTCTTTGTTCCAAATGAAGAGATATCAATAGTTGCATCTTTGTGGTTAGATTTTAAAATGGAGTCTTGGCCTTTTGCATATAATAATGGTTGGTGCTGAGGATGAGTCTATCAGGGATCCTAATGCTGTTCCTTCTTTTGTACAAGTTCAGAAATTACCAGACTGAAAGTTGAAGTGAACAAAAAACAACTCTGATGGTGCCCGTCTCCAGTGACACCCATTACAGACTAGAAGCCCTACTGTGGTCCACAGACCTCACCTGATCTAGGCCCATCACCTCCTTCATCTCATTTCCTCCCACTTGTCCCTCATCTAGTCACACTCTAGCCACACTGGCCTTCCTGCAGGGCAGGCACATTCCTACATCAGGGCCTTTGCATTTGCTGTTCCCTCTTTATCTATGCTGTCCAGTATGGTAGCCAAGAGCTATACGTGACTTGAGCATTTGAAATGTGGCTACTGCAACTGAGAAATGTCATTTTAATTTTAATGAAATTTAAAAACTAAAGTACTATAAAATACTTTTCTATTAAACACAACTTTACTGTTTTGGTAAGATACACTGCACTTTAATTGAAAATTTAGTGTCTGGACCTTCATGCAAGATAGCAGAATAGGCAGACAAGCTACCAAGACCCTGTACAACAAAGAAATGAGAAACCAGCTAAAACAGATATAGATGATAATCCTGTGACCCTAAGCTTCAGAGAGAAAGATAAAGAAGTGGATTAAATATCTATTATAGAATAAAGTAAATGAAAATAGTGAATATGGAGATAAATGGAGCTGTGGACTGTCAACTGACCTGACAGTATGGCCATTTGGGATATTTGCAAGTGGGAGCTCTGGTGGCCTAGTGCCTAAGGCATTTGACTGCTAACCAGAAGGCTGGTAGTTCAAACCCACCAATCACTCCTTGGAAAGAAGACTGGGCAATCTACTTCTGTAGAGTTACCACCTCAGAAACCCAAGGAGGGGTCACTATGAGTCGGATTCAACTTCACGGCACTGAGTTTGGTTTGCTTTCAAGTGGTGTTCCAATTGGGACAGCAACCTGATAATCAGCTGTGTGTGCCAAGGACTGCATGGGCACCCACAATGGTGCTGGCAACCAGGAAGGTGTGACATTCCTTGTTCCCTTTGTATCATACACACTCCTGGTGAACAGAGGTATGGCCAACTCCCACACCCCACCCACCTTCTGCACTGGTAAGAATTCCATCCTGGATTGAGTGCCCTGTAACCAGCTGCTTTCTGGGTATACAAGGACTGGTTCTGGGACCAGGTCCCCTTTTGGGCCTGTAGGAACTTTTACTGTGACCAGGTGCCCTAAACTTAGCTGTCTTTTGGAACAGGAGGAACTTTCTTGGGGACTAGACACCTTGCCCCCTGCTGCTTTTTGGGCCTGCAGGAACTCATAGAACCAGGTGCCTTGCTCCCAGCCACCTTTCAGGCCAGTAGGAACTTTTTCCAAGTCCAGGTGCCCTATCCCTAGACATCTGCTGACCAAGTAGGAACTCCATTTGGGACCAGGTGCCCTGCCCTCAATTGCCTTCTGGGTAGGCAGGAATTGGTTCCAGGACCAGCCAAATTTTGGGCCACCAGGAAGTTTTTCTGGGATGAAGTACCTT